ACCATCACCCCGAACCTCCGCCTTCCCGTGTCCTCTTCGTGCTGCCCCCCCTCCCCCCGCACGCCCCTTCCGATTCCCCTTCCAGGGCCCCCCCCCCTCAGAGGCGCCAGGACACGCGCCACCGTGGAACCATAGCGCTGAGCCCTATGAAGCGAAAAAAAAATACGGAGAGGAAAAGGAGACGGAGGAGGAGAAGGAGGAGGTGGAGGAGGAGGTTGTTGTTGTTGGGGACGGGCCTCCAGCCAAGGTGACCCAGGGTCAAACAACATCTGGCGCGTCGGAATCCGACTCCTCCCCAAAGGGGGGACCGAACGACGAAGGTACTATCAAGACACGCGCATGGGTCGTGGACCAGGGGCGCCCTGGATGCCTCTCGGGGTCTCGCGACAGGACTCGCAGAGCCTATTTGCGGGCCTCGTGGGGCCTCGTGGGAGTTGGAAGGGAAAGTGCTTTACGCAGACGCTTATTCAGTCCCTTGAACGAGATGGAAAGCGACGACGGCCCCGAGGTACACACACTTACGACTCCTACCCCTACGACTCCACCGGACGCGCTCCCACCAGCACGTGACGCCGTACAGCGGGAACAACAAGGACAGCATCCACATCCACCTTCTTTGGACGAGATCGCCAAGATGTTCCGGAAGGAGGTGCAGCCACTTCGCAACACCATCAGCAGCCTCGAACGACGCCTTACTGACATGAGCGGGCTCATCGAAACCAGGTTCGCCATTCGAAGACTTCTCCATTCGCCTGACCAACCTCGAGAACCACCAGAACGCCGAGTTCGAGGATATCACAGCTCGGGTTGCCGCTCTCGAATTACACCCATCGCGTGCTGATGTTGATTATGCCGGAGCAGGCTCTGCACGCAATTTGGGTTCCGAAGTTGAAGAGAAACTCATCGAGCTCGAGCGCCAGATGGCGGGACTCACCACGGGCAAGTATTTCGAATGCAATGCGGTAGTTGGGGGAATTGGCAATTTCGATATTTTGCAGCACGCGGCCACATGGTTAAACGACCGTACTCTTCAGCTTGGAGCCCCTGAACCGTCCGATATCTTCATCAAAGGTGAGTCGTTCCAGCAGATTGCTTTCGCAAAGTTTGATTCCATGAGCGCCCAGGACAAGTACGTAAGCATCTTGGGGAGGGCGCAGCTGAAGCACCAAGAGAACATGATCTGGACACGACCGGATCAACCACTGGAAAAGAGGGTGCCTGAGAGTTTCTTGTTCGGACTCCGGAAGGCTTTTTTGGGATGGCGTTATTCCAAGAGTGAGGTGCGCGTAGATACGGTGGAACAGAAACTCAAAGTGACCAAAAAGTCAGTTTGTCATGCACGTGTGGCCAGGACGGCTCTCCAAGTTGCTTGGGAAGGACCTTGGGCAGCCTGGGGCGACCTCACCAACAGCCAGGAGGTGGCTGACTTGAAAGACCGCGCCAACGGGGTTCTCCAAAGGGCTGCTGCGAAAGGCGGGGGCAAACGGAAGAAGGGAGGCCACTAGAAAATACGACGGCGCATCGGGACCACAAAACCGACTCGTACTGGCCAATGGGTAACACTCCCATGCATGCCGGTACGGTGTGGACGAGTTGCTTCATGGAATGTCGAAGGCATTAGCTTGGAGAGGCCACACAAGTTGTACGAAATAATTAACCACATGTCCGATTTATCCATTGGTGTGCTATGTCTTCAAGAGACACACTGCCTGGGATCATCTACTTTCGAATGCGAGGGGTATTTATTCATCCTTTCTGGGGCTGAGCACGGCAGCAGAGAGCACGCAGGCGTCGGATTTATTGTCGCCCCTTGGGTGCGCCACGCCATCAAAGGGTATCTACAGCAGGACAACCGAATGGCAAGCTTAAGGGTCCGGGCGTCTGATGGGATTCTCACGCTGGTTACGGTGTACGCCTGGACAAACGAGCACAACTACGACGTCCCACACGACTTCTTCACGGATCTGTTGAGGTTCTCACAGAAGTGCAAATCGCATGGGCCAACATTATAGTTAGGAGATTTCAACTAGAGGCTATTACAGCGCCATGCTGGAGAAGAAACAGTCATGGGACAGTATCTCTTCGACAATCCAACAGGAAGATGGGCACCGACATCAAATCGAGAGTTACTGTTGGAAGTATGCAATGCCATGGACGGCTGCATCGCGAATCCATTTTTCGACACAGGTGTAGAAGCCAAAACAACTTATTACGATTTGGGCACCAAACCAGCAGAACCGATACAACCAGGGCGCTTCGAGCAGCTGGACCACGTCATCATTGCGCGGAACTGGCTCAGTAATGTTACGTCTATCTGGGGCGACCGCAGTAGGGTGTTGCAATCACAAATTTTCGTACAGATTGTTGATCTTGATCTCGACATACCGAAAACAGAACGCCCACACAAAACATTGCAATCTGATTTCACGGAGCTCAAAGACAAGGACATCGCAGACAAGTATTCTGGAGCTTTTGTCCTTCACTGGGGAGTCGCACCTCTCTGTCCAGATCTTGGCACCAAAGCAGAATCCATGTCTACATGTATGTTGGAAGCCGCAAAAGAGACTTTACCAACCATTGCAGTGCACAGGAGGCGGCCCTGGATCTCGACCAGAACTTTGAATTTGATCGAGGAGCGGAACCAAAAACGGACACACGGTGCAAACACAGACACGGTCAAGAGACTCAACAAACAAATCCAATTGTCAGCGCGTGCTGACAGAAAACATTGGTTGGAAGAAGCCATTACACATAATGGATGGCATGCTGTTCGGGCTCTCCGGAAGGGCCGGCCGATGAAACACAGGAGGCTCCAGGACAGCGACGGCAATCTCGTAGACTCAGAGATGAGGGCCGAAACATTGGCAGATTATTTGGAAAGAGATAAATGGAAATTGTGTCACGATTCAGAACAACTTCCCAACTTAGTGGAGAACGGTGGATTTTTATACATCGACGTTGGCAATATCACGCTGGAGGAAGTACAGCGGGCAGTCAAGGCCTTGAAAGTACAAAAAGCGGCCGGTAGCGACGGAGTTCCGCCAGACGTGTGGCACGCACTCTGGAGAGACAGCGCAGCTTTGGAAATCTTGCGATCTCTATGTAACGGTTGCTGGCAGCAGAAGGACATGCCAGAGCAATGGAGAGAAGCCTCAACGGTATCTATCTTCAAGACGGGCGACATCTCCGAGCCGGGCAACTACAGGCCTAGTTCTCTGTTGGCGGTAGGCTACAAAATCTTGGCCAGCATCATATTACATAGATTCAAAAGTGGAGGGGCTGATGAACAATTACGGGAATCGCAGTACGGATTCCGAGCCGCACGGGGCACCAGCGACGCGTTGTTCCTGGTGCGGAGATTCATCGACGCCGCCCTGGAAGACAAAAACCGTACATTATTATTGCTATTGCTGGATTGAAGCAAGGCGTTTGATCGCATCAAACCCAAAGGATGATTGTTCGCATTTCGGCATTTCAAGGTGCCGCCCGAGATGCTGAGCATGATTGGTGCCATCTAGAAGGTGCGTAAGTTCATCGTCAGAGACGGGGCGACCACGTCATCGCAGAAGATTCATCTGGTATTGCGCAGGGGTGCACCAAGGACGTGCTGTACGCTGATGACACGCTGTTGGTCTCGCAGTGCCGGGACTCTCTCCAAAGGCATTTCCACATAGTATCACAGATTGGAAAATCATTTGGATGTGACCTCAACGCAGGCAAGACGATGTTATTGAGAATCAGGTCGGACGACACAGTGGTGGGGCCCAGTGGAGAACCAATTCAAACAAAGGACAGCGTCGTTTATCTTGGGGGTCTTTTGAGCGCAGACGGCAAGCCAACAGCTGAAGTAACGCGGCGTCTCGGGGAGGCGAAAGGGGCATTTGATAAGCTTTGCGCCGCATGGAGCCACGCGAACATGACGAAGCAGCATAAGCTACGAGTTGTCCAGGCATGTGTGTTCTCGAAATTGTTGTATGGGTTGGAATATTGCGTGCTGCTGAAGGCCAACCGTGACAGACTAGACGGTTTTCAAGCCAAATGTATTCGCAAAAGATGGACAATCCAGCCGGCTTTCCTGTCCCGAATCAGCAATGCACGCGTGCGCTCTGAAGCGCACGTCCGTCCATTATCATCTCTTCTATTGGAGCGACAACTGAAGTACTATGGGAAATTAGCCAGAGCTCCCCCGCAGTCGCTTCCGAGACAGATGGTTTCCAGCCATGCCAGAATCTTTTGATGCCACGAGACTGGCGCTCCCCGAAAAATCGAGGGAGGCCGCATTTGCAGTGGACTGCGTATATGCACGCCCGCGCGCTGGGTGTTGCAGGAGACGACCCGGACCGCCTGCAAGTCTTGTTACAATCCCCTCAAAGTAGTTGGGACGCAGCTGTCAATGAATACTCTAACTCTTTAGTGTGACGTTGTTGTGTTTCCCCCCTCTCCCCTCTCCCCGCCCTCCTCCCTCCCTCCTGCTCGCCCCCTCCTGCACGCGAGCGTTGCTGATCACCCTCGCGCGCCACTTGCACAAAGGCTGCCGGTGGTCGAGCTCCGAGGCACGGTAGCCGCTCCCAGACATGTGTATGTAGTTTTTCTTTTGCCGATGCGCCGTCCAGGCGCGGCTCTTGAGTGAGTGAGTGAGTGAGAGTGGGACCTCTTGAGGGCCTCGCTGAACCCTCTGAGGGCCTCTTCAGAGCGTCTCGGAGGCCTCTGGGAGGGTCTCGGAGGGCATGTTGGAAGCCGTGCCGCTCCCACAAGCAAGAGAGTGCCCCACGACTCCCCTTGGCCCCACCTGGGGGACCTCTTGGGGCGCTCGTGGGGACCCCCTCCTGGGGCCCTCTTTGGGCCCTTTTGGAAGCCTCTTGAGCGGTTGGGGTCTCTCGGGCCGTCATGGGGCTCTCTCTCTGACTTTCAGGGGTCTTCTGGAGCCCTCTTCGGGCTATACCTGGGATGCCCCTGGGACCTCCTTGGGCTGTCGGATGCTCAAATGAGCGAGAACGCTGAAAAATCGTGTTCATTGGCATATCTCGGCGGTGAACAAACCTCCCTTTAGTAAACCTCCCCTTAAACTAAAAGACCTGGGACCGAAACCGACGGACCTGGACCCGCAGAAGTGGCGGCCGCGACGCCCTCTCGCGAACCGAAAACGGCCAATTCCTTAATCTACGTGTCAGGGTAGGAGGACTGTCCACCCCCGAATATCGTGGGGAACATCGGTGGAAGGTGTCTCCTCTGGGCCCATCGGGGCCTCGCGGGTGCCCTTCGGGGGCCGGTCAGGGGCCTGTCGAGGGCCTCTTGGGATACAGGCACCGGCCCGACCTAAGGAAAGATGAACAAGGAACGAGGCCCCTTCTTCCAAGGAGTAACGCAGAAGGAACGACATATAATACATAACGCACATGGAGCGATGAATAACGCATGCAAGCCTAAGAGGCGACCGAGCCCCTTTTGAAAAGCAAGTGTTGGTTGTTCAAGCCGCTCACTGTAGTCTTGGAGTCCTTCTGGATGGTCTTGAGAGCGCGTTGGGAGCTGTACTCAAGAAGATAATGCTCCAAGGCTCGCTTGGCCCCTTCTCGGTACAGTATCGGGGTTCTCTTGGACCCTCTAAGGGTCCTCTTGGGGGGTCTTGGAAGCCTTTGGGCCGTCTCGAGGCGATCTTGGGATCCTCTTGGGCCGTCTTGGGCCTAAGAGGATCCCAAGATCGCCCAAGAGGATGTGTTAGGCTGTGTTAGGCTGTCGGAGGCCCGACAAAAGGGAGAACGCTAAAAAGGCGCTTCGGCACGATCAATGCCACGATGAATGGGTGGCGTTGACGCATGCGGCCTGTGCCGCTGGAGCCTTCGGTGGAGCTCCCTATGGGGCCACGAAGCGCTGTCCTGGGTGGCGTTGACGCATGCGGCCTGTGCCACTGGAGCCTTCGGTGGAGCTCCCTATGGGGTCACGAAAACGTGCGAGGGGTGTGCCGAAATAATGGTCACGCGGAGAGCAGAGGCAAGGAGGGCCAGGGAGGACGGGGAGGGGGCAGCAGGAGGAGGGGGGGAGGGGGATGAGTGACGCGGGGTGCTGTCTTTTTCAAAACGAAGACCCAACACCACAGGATGGTTGGGAAATAGCCTCCCAGGCCCCCAAGAGGCCCTCAAGAAGGGGCCCTCGCGCACGCCTCGTGTGCCGTCTCCGAGCGTCGGGAAGCGGAGCAGGCGACCAGGGGAAGGTCAATGACAAACCGCTTGACAAAAACAAGGATGTTTGCCTAGTGGGGGCTATCTCGGGAAGCCATTTAGAGCCATCTTGGGCCGTCTTGGATGCCTCGTGGTCCGCACCGGAGAGATGGCGGGCGGGCCGGGACCGTTTGGGAGCCCTGCGGGCCTCCTTGAGGACCCCTGTGGCGTGTCCTGGCTCGTCTGGGGAGCCACGTGGAGCCCGCTTGGGCGATTCTGGGCGCCTCGTGGGCCTTCTTGGCGCCCTCCTGGGGTGGCTCGTGGCCCGGCTGGGCGCCTCCTGTGCCGTCTTTGCGCGTGGAGCAGACTACGCCAGACTTCGCCTCTGGAGCCTCTCTCGGGGAGCAGCTCGGAGCCCTCTTGCCATCGCGTTGGAAGGCAAGAGAGGCACTGTCGCGCCGCGGACGGGAGATCCACGCGGCGGGCGGGCAAGAGGATCGCCCATACGCTGGCGTGCACGCCGAGCACCAGCAAAAAACTGAGGCAGTTGCGCTGGAGAGGCATGGCTTGGCGGCCACGGTGTAAGGGTGCGGCACCAGGCCAAGCCTCCCGCATCACTGCGCTTGCGCGACCACCCGCGAGCGATCTTCGCACTCTACAAGCTTAGCACTGAAGGGCAGAAACCAAACGACCAGAAAAGGCGAAGGCGCCCCGTCTGTATTACTGGCAGCATGCTTCGGCACGATCAGCCACGTGAGGCGACGTCGCATTTGTCGCGAAAAGCCGCCTCAATAGAGATGGTTAGCACTTGTCGCGAAAACCCACCGAACAAAAAAAAATAGCAGGGCACCCCTCCAGAGAGAGGCGCGGCCCGGTGGAGGCAGGATCACACGATTGCCTCATCCGCGCCGTCACCTGCTCAGATGGTCGAGACTTCGGCCGCACCGTCCTCGCTGGCCTCCTCCTTCTTCGGGGGGCCCGCCTTCACGTCGGCCACGACGCGGAGCGCTGTGACTGCGAGGATCGGGTTGAGCAGGGCCCAGCCCCCGATGACGTAGCCGAGCCCGTAGCCGGCGCCGTTCGCGATGTCCCCGAGCTTGCCCTTGGCCGCCACGATGCCGTCGTTCTGGTCGTCCTGGACCCAGCACGTCGTCTCCTGCCCCAGCGCTCTCAGGCCGCTGGCCCACGCGGCGAGCAGGAGGACCCAGGCCACGCCGAAGGCGGCAACGGTGCCCCAGAGTACCTTGCGCATGTCACGCTTGTCCCCCCTGGCGAGGTACGCGAGCATCGCCGCAATCCCCAAGAAGCAGAAGACGATCCCGGCCACGCTCAGGCCGCCCGCGGCCGTCAGGCCGTCGACGTCCGTGCAGAGGTCGCCGAGCGGGATGCAGCAGGCCTTCGGCAAGGCGTCCGCGCTGCAGGACGACGCCGGGGCCGCAGCCCACTTGGTGCCAGACTGGCTGTAGTCGATGGTGTACGGTCGGGAGACCGCGGCGGACACGTTGGCGCACTGCGTCGCATGCAGGTCGCCGCACCCAGTCAGCGCCTCGCACTCGCTGAGCCAATCCGTCGTGGCGTCGTGGCGCTCGCGCACCCCTGCCACGACTCCTCGTAGACGGTGTTGGCGCCCAGGACGGTGGAGAAGCCGCTCTGGTCGGCGCAGGCGGAGCTGAGGCCATCCATGCACGTCGCGAGGTGCGCATCGAGGGCCTCGCCCGTGAGGGGGCTCGGGGCCCAGCCCACCTCCTCCGCAAACATGGCGGAGCACGCGCTCCAGGCGCCGAGGCCGACGTGGTCTCGGGCGTCGAAGGACGCGTACTTCATGTCGCACCACTTGGCGTTCGGCACCGCCATCAGCAGCACCATGATCGAGTACCAGCCGAGCCCGTAGGCACAGGGCGCCAGCCACCACTGCCTCGCGCCGCCGATGTCGGTGCTGCCGATCTTCGACTCCTCCACCGCGGCGGACCGAGCCTCGCCGTCCGCGGTGGCAATCTTCATGCTGGGCGGCATGAATGAGAAGTCCTTCTTGAGCACCGCGGGCAGCCGCTCCGGGTGGTAGGCGCGCATGCCGAAGACGCAGGAGCCAGCGATCAGCAGGAGCAGGAGCGGAAGGCCCACGAACACGAGTGCCGCCCAGTGCATCAGGGACAGCCCCAGGAGCAGGCCCGAATGGCCGCGAAGACGGCGAAGATGTAGGCGAGGGGGAACCAGCGCAGGTCCGCGGCCATGCTACCCAGCGCCCTGGCCATGGTGAGCGGCACGGCCCGCATGGCAGGAATCGGGAACCAGATCAAAGCGCCGATGAGGTTGAAGAACAGGTGCGAAAACGCCACCGTCATGCCGGTCGCGACGTTCGAGCCCGCCAGCGCTGACAGCATGCCCGTGACGGTGGTGCCCACGTTCGCGCCGACGGTGAACGGGAACATCTTGTCAAGCTTGATCAGGCCGATTCCGACGAGCGGCGTCAGCGTCGAGGTGGTTATGCTGCTGCTCTGCATGAGGATAGTGATGCCCACACCGAAGAGGATAAGGATGTAGTCGGCCACAAAGGGCACCGTCTTGAACTCCAGATTCAGAAGTCCCTGCATCCAAATCGCGGCGCGGCCCCGAAAGATCGTCTGCAGCAGCTTGACCAGGAGGATGAGCGTGGTGGACAGCATCACCAGGGAGATGACCAGCAGCAGCCACCCAGCCCCCTCGTCACTCAGGGGGGTGTCCAGGAACATATGGTTGTCCTGGGTGCGCTTGTTCTGGATGATCGACTGTGCCAGCAGGTCGTCCAGCTTGTCCTGGTCGCTCGCCTGCGCGACCTTGGTCACCAGCTTCTTGTCCACAGATATCAGGCGAGAGGTGACGGGCTTCGTGAGCACCTTGATAAAGTCGACCTTCTCCTTCGCCTCCTGGTCCTCCTCGATGCCAGCGGACTCGACAAGGGCGCTGCCGATGTGGTAGAGCATGTGGGTGAAGTACTCGAGCGGGAGCAAGATGGACACTGTCAGCAGGTTGAAGCAATCGTGCACCGTTGCGCCCGCAAACGCCCGGCGGTACTGGTCCACGTCGCCCATGTGGGACATGCTGACGATTGTGTTGGTGACGGATGTGCCGATGTTCGCCCCCATGATCATGTAAACGGCGTTCTTGGGATCGATCAGGCCTGCCGCGGTCATCGTGATGATGATGGAGGTGCTGGTCGACGATGACTGCACCAGCACTGTCGCCAGGATCCCGAGGGAGCAACCCGCGAACGGGTTGTCGAAGATGGCGTTGTTCCGGAAGACCGCGCCGGCGGTGGGGCCACCGATGACGGTAAACGCGTCGCCCATCATGCTGAGGGAGATGAGGAAGATGTAGAGAAGCCCCACCGCCGTCACCACCTTTAGCACCTGGATGGTCACGAAGAGAGCCTTCTCTGGGCCTGTCCGCTGCGACCACGCCTTGTCTCCGGACTCCATCTGCTTCACATCCCACTTGTCCACCACTGCCGCCATCTTGAGACTGCTCTGCTTGCTGTCTTCGTCCGGGAGTCCTCGGGAGATGCGCCTCCCCGAAGGCCTGCCCTCCTGAGCTGCGGGAGCACGAGCCAAAAACGGCTTGAGCCAAAATGGCTACGGAAGGGCTTTCTTGGGGACATCAAGGTTTTCAACGTTTGTAGCTTTTCCGCCCTTTCGATCTTAAGGGCGCCCAAGACGACCAAACAATCCTTCAAGATCGTCCCAGAAGGGCTTCCAAGCTCGTAGGAGGGGCTCAAGAGGCCCCCAAGACGGCCCTTAGGGGGCCCGAGAGGGGAAGCGCAAACTGACATGTCAAGCCCTCCACCCCCAACATTAGCCTCCCAGGCCCCCACGAGGCCCCCAAGAGGCCCTCCAGAAGGGGCCCTCGCGCACGCCTCGTGTGCCGTCTCCGAGCGTCGGGAAGCGGAGCAGGCGACCACGGGAAGATCAATGACAGACCGCTTGACAAAAACAAGGATGTTTGCCTAGTGGGGGCTGTCTCGGGAAGCCATTTAGAGCCATCTTGGGCCGTCTTGGATGCCTCGTGGGCCGCACCGGAGAGATGGCGGGCGGGCCGGGACCGTTTGGGAGCCCTGCGGGCCTCCTTGAGGACCCCATGAGGCGTGTCCTGGCTCGTCTGGGGAGCCACGTGGAGCCCGCTTGGGCGATTCTGGGCGCCTCGTGGGCCTTCCTGGCGCCCTCCTGGGGTGGCTCGTGGCCCGGCTGGGCGCCTCCTGTGCCGTCTTTGCGCGTGGAGCAGACCACGCCAGACTTCGCCCCTGGAGCCTCTCTCGGGGAGCAGCTCGGAGCCCTCTTGCCATCGCGTTGGGAAGGCAAGAGAGGCACTGTCGCGCCGCGGACGGGAGATCCACGCGGCGGGCGGGCAAGAGGATCGCCCATACGCTGGCGTGCACGCCGAGCACCAACAAAAAGCTGAGGCAGTTGCGCTGGAGAGGCATGGCTTGGCGGCCACGGTGTAAGGGTGCGGCACCAGGCCAAGCCTCCCGCATCACTGCGCTTGCGCGACCACCCGCGAGCGATCTTCGCACTGTACAAGCTTAGCACTGAAGGGCAGAAACCAAACGACCAAAAAAGGAGAAGGCCGCGCCCGTCTGTATTACTGGCAGCATGCTTCGGCACGATCAGCCACGTGAGGCGACGTCGCATTTGTCGCGAAAAGCCGCCTCAATAGAGATGGTTCGCACTTGTCGCGAAAACCCACCGAACAAAAAAAAATAGCAGGGCACCCCTCCAGAGAGAGGCGCGGCCCGGTGGAGGCAGGATCACACGATTGCCTCATCCGCGCCGTCACCTGCTCAGATGGTCGAGACTTCGGCCGCACCGTCCTCGCTGGCCTCCTCCTTCTTCGGGGGGCCCGCCTTCACGTCGGCCACGACGCGGAGCGCTGTGACTGCGAGGATCGGGTTGAGCAGGGCCCAGCCCCCGATGACGTAGCCGAGCCCGTAGCCGGCGCCGTTCGCGATGTCCCCGAGCTTGCCCTTGGCCGCCACGATGCCGTCGTTCTGGTCGTCCTGGACCCAGCACGTCGTCTCCTGCCCCAGCGCTCTCAGGCCGCTGGCCCACGCGGCGAGCAGGAGGACCCAGGCCACGCCGAAGGCGGCAACGGTGCCCCAGAGTACCTTGCGCATGTCACGCTTGTCCCCCCTGGCGAGGTACGCGAGCATCGCCGCAATCCCCAAGAAGCAGAAGACGATCCCGGCCACGCTCAGGCCGCCCGCGGCCGTCAGGCCGTCGACGTCCGTGCAGAGGTCGCCGAGCGGGATGCAGCAGGCCTTCGGCAAGGCGTCCGCGCTGCAGGACGACGCCGGGGCCGCGGCCCACTTGGTGCCAGACTGGCTGTAGTCGATGGTGTACGGTCGGGAGACCGCGGCGGACACGTTGGCGCACTGCGTCGCATGCAGGTCGCCGCACCCAGTCAGCGCCTCGCACTCGCTCAGCCAGTCCGCCGTCGTGGCGCTCGCGCACCCCTGCCACGACTCCTCGTAGACGGTGTTGGCGCCCAGGACGGTGGAGAAGCCGCTCTGGTCGGCGCAGGCGGAGCTGAGGCCATCCATGCACGTCGCGAGGTGCGCATCGATTGCGGGCACGCGCTCCAAGCGCCGATGCCGACGTGGTCCCGGGCGTCGAAGGACGCGTACTTCATGTCGGACCACTTGGCGTTCGGCACCGCCATCAGCAGCACCATGATCGAGTACCAGCCGAGCCCGTAGGCACAGGGCGCCAGCCACCACTGCCTCGCGCCGCCGATGTCGGTGCTGCCGATCTTCGACTCCTCCACCGCGGCGGACCGAGCCTCGCCGTCCGCGGTGGCCATCTTCATGCTGGGCGGCATGAATGAGAAGTCCTTCTTGAGCACCGCGGGCAGCCGCTCTGGGTGGTAGGCGCGCATGCCGAAGACGCAGGAGCCAGCGATCAGCAGGAGCAGGAGCGGAAGGCCCACGAACACGAGTGCCGCCCAGTGCATCAGGGACAGCCCCAGGAGCAGGCCCGGAATGGCCGCGAAGACGGCGAAGATGTAGGCGAGGGGGAACCAGCGCAGGTCCGCGGCCATGCTACCCAGCGCCCTGGCCATGGTGAGCGGCACGGCGCGCATGGCAGGAATCGGGAACCAGATCAAAGCGCCGATGAGGTTGAAGAACAGGTGCGAAAACGCCACCGTCATGCCGGTCGCGACGTTCGAGCCCGCCAACGCTGACAGCATGCCCGTGACGGTGGTGCCCACGTTCGCGCCAACGGTGAACGGGAACATCTTGTCAAGCTTGATCAGGCCGATTCCGACGAGCGGCGTCAGCGTCGAGGTGGTTATGCTGCTGCTCTGCATGAGGATAGTGATACCCACACCGAAGAGGATAAGGATGTAGTCGGCCACAAAGGGCACCGTCTTGAACTCCAGATTCAGCAGTCCCTGCATCCAAATCGCAGCGCGGCCCCGAAAGATCGTCTGCAGCAGCTTGACCAGGAGAATAAGCGTGGTGGACAGCATCACCAGGGAGATGACCAGCAGCAGCCACCCAGCCCCCTCGTCACTCAGGGGGGTGTCCAGGAACATATGGTTGTCCTGGGTGCGCTTGTTCTGGATGATCGACTGTGCCAGCAGGTCGTCCAGCTTGTCCTGGTCACTCGCCTGTGCGACCTTGGTCACCAGCTTCTCGCCCACAGATATCAGGCGAGAGGTGACTGGCTTCGTGAGCACTTTGATGAAGTCGATTTTCTCCTTCGCCTCCTGGTCCTCCTCGATGCCAGCGGACTCGACAAGAGCGCTGCCGATGTGGTAGAGTATGTGGGTGAAGTACTCGAGCGGGAGCAAAATGGACACTGTCAGCAGGTTGAAGCAGTCGTGCACCGTTGCGCCCGCAAACGCCCGTCGGTACTGGTCCACGTCACCCATGTGGGACATGCTGACGATTGTGTTGGTGACGGATGTGCCGATGTTCGCCCCCATGATCATGTAAACGGCGTTCTTGGGATCGATCAGGCCTGCCGCAGTCATCGTGATGATGATGGAGGTACTGGTCGACGATGACTGCACCAGCACCGTCGCCAGGATCCCGAGGGAGCAACCCGCGAACGGGTTGTCGAAGATGGCGTTGTTCCGGAAGACCGCGCCAGCGGTGGGGCCACCGATGACGGTGAACGCGTCGCCCATCATGCTGAGGGAGATGAGGAAGATGTAGAGAAGCCCCACCGCCGTCACCACCTTCAGCACCTGGATGATCACGAAGAGAGCCTTCTCTGGGCCTGTCCGCTGCGACCACGCCTTGTCTCCGGACTCCATCTGCTTCACATCCCACTTGTCCACCACTGCCGCCATCTCTAGACGGCTCTGCTTGCTATCTTCGTCCGGGAGTCCTCGGGCGATGCGCCTCCCCGAAGGCCTGCCTGCCTGAGCTGCGGGAGCTCGAGCCAAAAATGGCTTGAGCCAAAATGGCTACGGAGAGGCTTTCTTGGAGACATCAAGGTTTGTGATGTTTGTAGTTTTTCCGACCTTTCGATCTTAAGGGCGCCCAAGACGACCAAACAATCCTTCAAGATCGTCCCAGAACGGCTTCCAAGCTCGCAAGAGAGGCTCAAGAGGACCCCAAGACGGCCCTTAGGGGGCCCAAGAGGGGAAGCCCGAACTGACATGTCGAGCCCTCCACCCCCACAATTAGCCTGACGAAGGACCCAACCATATGCAGTTGCGAATACCGCATTGTGGGTACGGGTTTCGGTGAAGCTCCCTATGGGGCCACGAAACGTGTGAGGGGTGCGCCGAAATCGGTGGCGCGGACGCATGGGGACACCGCCACTGGGACCTTCGGTGGAGCTCCCTATGGGGCCACGAAACGCTGTCCTGTGTGGGGAAGACGCATGCGGACTGCGCCATTGGGACCTTCGGTGGAGCTCCCTATAGGGCCACGAAACGCTGTCATGGGTGGCGGTGACGCATGCGGACCCTGCCACTGGGGCCTTCGATGGAGCTTTCCGTGGGGCCACGGACCCCGTGTAAGCGCTGTGCCTAAATGGCTGGCGGTGACGCTGTCACAAGAGCCTTCCCTCCCTATGGGGCCACGGAAAGCTGCCCTCGGTGGCGTTGACGCATGCGGCCTGTGCCACTTGAGGCTTCGGTGGAGCTCCTTATGGGCCCACGGAACGATGTCCTGGGTGGCGTTGGCGCATGCGGACCCTGCCACTGGAGCCTTCGGTGAAGCTCCCCGTGGGGCCACGAAGCGCTGTCCTGGGTGACGCACGCAGACTGTGCCACCGGAGCCTTCGGTGAAGCTCCCCGTGGGGCCACGAAACGCTGTCCTGGGTGGCAGTGACGCATGCGGCCTGTGCCACTGGAGTCTTCGGTGAAGCTCCCCGTGGGGCCACGAAACGCCGTCATTGGTGGCAGTGACGCATGCGGCCTGTGCCACTGGAGCCTTCGGTGGAGCTCCCTATGGGGCCACGAAACGCTGTCCTGCGTGGGGGAGACGCATGCGGACTGCGCCATTGGGACCTTCGCTGGAGCTCCTTATGGGGCCACGAAGCGCTGTCCTGGGTGGCGTTGACGCATGCGGCCTGTGCCAGTGGAGCTTTCGGTGGAGCTCCCTATGGGGCCACGAAAACGTGCGAGGGGTGTGCCGACATGATGGACATGCGGAGAGCAGAGGCAAGGAGGGCCAGGGAGGACGGGGAGGGGGCAGCGGGAGGAGGGGGAGGAGGATGAGTGACGCGGGGTGCTGTCTCTTCAAAACGAGGACCCAACACCACAGGACGGTTGGGAAATAGCCTCCCAGGCCCCCACGAGGCCCCCAAGAGGCCCTCCAGAAGGGGCCATCGCGCACGCCTCGCGTGCCGTTCCCGAGCGTCGGGAAGCGGAGCAGGCGACCACCGAAGATCCATGAAAAAACGATTGGCAAAAACAAGGATGTTTGCCTTGTGGGGCTGTTTCGGGAAGCAAATTAGAGCCGCCTTGGATGCCTCGTGGGCCGCATCGGAGCGATGGCGGGCGTGCCGGGACCCTGTGGGAGCCCTGCGGGCCTCCTTGAGGACCTCTGTGGCGTGTCCTAGCTCGTTTGGGGAGCCACACGGAGCCCGCTTGGGCGATTCTGGGCGCCTCGTGGGCCGTCTTGGGGGCCCCCTTGGGGTGTCTCGCAGCCCTGCTGGGCGCCTCCTGCGCCGTCTTTGCGCGTGGAGCAGCGGAGCAGGCGACCACGCAAGAATTCGCCCCTGGAGCCTCTCTCGGGGATCAGCTCGAAGCCCTCCTGCCATCGCGTTGGGAAGGCAAGAAAAGACCTGTCACGCCGCGGACGGGAGATCCATGCGGCGGGCGGGCAAGAGGTCCGCCCACACGCAGGCGTGCACGCCGAGCACCAACAAAAAACTGAGGCAGTTGCGCTGGAGAGGCATGGCTTGGCCCACGGTGTGAGGGCGCGGCACCAGGCCAAGCCTCCCGCATCACTGCGCTTGCGCGACAACCCGCGAGCGATCTTCGCACTGTACAAGCTTCGCACTGCGGGCAGAAACCAAACGACCAAAAAATGCGAAGGCATCCGTCTGTATTACTGGCAGCATGCTTCGGCACGATCAGCCACGTAGGCGACGTCGCACTTGTCGCGAAAAGCCGCCTCAAAGGAAGTGGCTCGCACTTGTCGCGAAAACCCACCGACCCAAAAAAAAGCAGGGCACCCCTCCAGAGAGAGGCGCGGCCCGGTGGAGGAAGGATCACACGACGGCCTCATCCGCGCCGTCACGTGCTCAGATGGTCGAGACTTCGGCCGCACCGTCCTCGCTGGCCTCCTCCTTCTTCGGAGGGCCCGCATTCACGTCGGCCACGACGCGGAGCGCCGTGACTGCGAGGATCGGGTTGAGCAGGGCCCAGCCCCCGATGACGTAGCCGAGCCCGTAGCCGGCGCCGTTCGCGATGTCCCCGAGCTTGCCCTTGGCCGCCACGATGCCGTCGTTCTGGTCGTCCTGGACCCAGCACGTCGTCTCCTGCCCCAGCGCGCTCAGGCCGCTGGCCCACGCGGCGAGCAGGAAGACCCAGGCCACGCCGAAGGCGGCAACGGTGCCCCAGAGCACCTTGCGCATGTCACGCTTGTCCCCCTGGCGAGGTACGCGAGCATCGCCGCAAGCCCCAAGAAGCAGAAGACGATCCCGGCCACGCTCAGGCCGCCCGCGGCCGTCAGGCCGTCGACGTCCGTGCAGAGGTCGCCGAGCGGGATCAGCAGGCCTTCGGCAAGGCGTCCGCGCTGCAGGACGACGCCGGGGCCGCGGCCCACTCGGTGCCCGACTGGCTGTAGTCGATGGTGCACGGTCGGGAGACCGCGGCGGACACGTTGGCGCATGCGTCGCATGCAGGTCGCCGCACCCAGTCAGCGCCTCGCACTGGCTCAGCCAGTCCGCCGTCGTGGCGCTCGAGCACCCCTGCCACGACTCCTCGAAGGACGGCGTCGGCGCCCAGGACGGTGGAGAAGCCGCTCTGGTCGGCGCAGGCGGAGCTGAGGCCATCCATGCACGTCGCGAGGTGCGCATCGAGGTCCGCGCCCGTGAGGGGGCTCGGGGCCCAGCCCACCTCCTCCGCAAACATGGCGGAGCACGCGCTCCAGGCGCCGATGCCGACGTGGTCTCGGGCGTCGAAGGACGCGTACTTCATGTCGCACCACTTGGCGTTCGGCACCGCCATCAGCAGCACCATGATCGAGTACCAGCCGAGCCCGTAGGCACAGGGCGCCAGCCACCACTGCCTCGCGCCGCCGATGTCGGTGCTGCCGATCTTCGACTCCTCCACCGCGGCGGACCGAGCCTCGCCGTCCGCGGAGGCCATCTTCATGCTGGGCGGCATGAATGAGAAGTCCTTCTTGAGCACCGCGGGCAGCCGCTCCGGGCGGCAGGCGCGCATGCCGAAGACGCAGGAGCCAGCGATCAGCAGGAGCAGGAGCGGAAGGCCCACGAGCACGAGTGCCGCCCAATGCATCAGGGACAGCCCCAGGAGCAGGCCCGGAATGACCGCGAAGACGGCGATGATGTAGGCGAGGGGGAACCAGCGCACGTCCGCGGCCATGCTACCCAGCGCCCTGGCCATGGTGAGCGGCACGGCGCGCATGGCAGGAATCGGGAACCAGATCAAAGCGCCGATGAGGTTGAAGAACAGGCGCGAAAACGCCACCGTCATGCCGGTCGCGACGTTCGAGCCCGCCAGCGCTGACAGCATGCCCGTGACGGTGGCGCCCACGTTCTCGCCGACGGTGAACGGGGACATCTTGTCAAGCTTGATCAGGCCGATTCCGACGAGCGGCGTCAGCGTCGAGGCGGTGATGCTGCTGCTCTGCGTGAGGATAGTGATGCCCACACCGAAGAGGATAAGGATGTAGTCGGCCACAAAGGGCACCGTCTTGAACTCCAGATTCAGCAGCCCCTGCATCCAAATCGCGGCGCGGCCCCGAAAGATCGCCCGCAGCAGCTTGACCAGGAGGATAAGCGCGGTGGACAGCATCACCAGGGAGATGACCAGCAGCAGCCACCCAGCCCCCTCGTCACTCAGGGGCGTGTCCAGGAACATATGGTTGTCCTGGGTGCGCTTGTTCTGGATGATCGACTGTGCCAGCAGGTCGCCCAGCGTGTCCTGGTCGCACGCCTGTGCGACCTTGGTCACCAACTTCTTGTTTACAGAGATCAGGCGAGAGGTGACCGGCTTCGTGAGCACCTTGATGAAGTCGACTTTCTCCTTCGCCTCCTGGTCCTCCTCGATGCCGGCGGACTCGACAAGGACAGGAAGTCTGCGCGCCGGCTCCGGTAGCCGGAGCGGCCCCCTGAGGGGCAGACGCGCGCATGGCAATTAGGAAAATGCATCGAGTGAAACGCGCGCATGGAAGGCCGCTCACGCATCCAACGAATCTCTCCATCTCAGACGAGGTCGCCCTTGAGATCGTTTGGCTTCCGTCCAGAACCACGGCGCCCAGAGCAACAGTCGTTTGCTCCACTTGTTCCCAGCGTCGAAGAAGACGCGGGCTGCGAACGCGCATTTGCGAGCGCGTTGGATGGACACCCAGTTTCTGATGCGAAAATTGGAACAATACTCCTCTATCCTCATGGTCGAGCGCTTGATGTTCTCCAAGTACGTTTCGTCCGCGGCCCTGGCTGTGCGAAACATGCTCCGGAGCATCTTTCTCCACTCGACTCTGAGTCTGTTTCTGGACGTAGCATCCAGCGTCCAGCATTCACACGCATACAACGCGACCGGGCCCACGACGCTGTCGAACAGCCGCAAGCGCTTTCTCAGCGGGTACGACCGAGAACATAGAACGTGCTTGAACTTGGCGAATGCCCTCCAAGCAGACGACAATCGATGTGTGAGTTCATTGTCGTGAAAATCATAAAGAGACAGCTGAATTCCCAAATACCGTTCCGATTCACCTGGCTGTACAATAGCGACATCCTCTCCAGACACTTGCACTGTCAGTGAACAAGTGTCAGCAGAATGTGTAATAATCTTCGTTTCCCGAAGTGAACAACAAGTCCATACCGGGAAGCCTCCTTAGTCAAGTCCCTGAGCATTTTCACAACGTCTGATTTGCTGCTCGCCAGTAAAAGGACGTCGTCTGCAAACCGTAAATTCGTCAGCGGGTCATCCACAGAGTCAATGACAAAACCAAAATACGGTCCAGTCCTGCGCTGATTTAGCCCGTGCCATCTCTTCTTGAGTGCACGAAAGCATACTTCCATCACAGCTATGAACAACAATGCAGATATCGGGTCTCCTTGTTTCACACCGCGAGATAAATCGAATCTCCTCGAATCTTCTCCCGCCACGACCGTGGCTGACTGATGGCAGTACAGCTTCTGCACCAAAGAAATATAAGTGGCGTATACGCCTAATACACGAAGTACCTCCCACAGCGCAGAGTGTTCTACAGTATCGAACGCCTTTTCAAAATCCACGAGAGCTATCCACAGCGATTGGTTTCACTCCTCACATCCTTCAGCGAGAAGCGTGAGTGTGAGTAAATGGTCAACTGTCGAATACCCCTTCCGGTATGCCGCCTGGTCCGGGCTCTGCGCAGAAACAATTGCTGGCTGGAGTCTGTCGCACAACACCTGGGCAAACAATTTGTACAGGATTGGCAATATAGCTATGGGTCTATAGTTCTTTGGAAGTAAAGGGTCTCCTTTTTTGAATAATACAACAAGCCGCGTTCTCGTCCACGTTCCCGGCAGCGCCGCACCCGGCTGCGTCACGTCGTTGAACAAATCGAGAACAGCATTGCGGAAAATGGCACTGGACGCCTTCAACATTTCCGCAACCACTCCACTCCGGACTCGACAAGGGCGCTGCCGATGTGATAGAGCATGTGGGTGAAGTACTCGAGCGGGAGCAAGATGGACACTGTCAGCAGATTGAAGCAATCGTGCACCGTTGCGCCCGCGAACGCCCGGCGGTACTGGTTCACGTCGCCCATGTGGGACATGCTGACGATTGTGTTGGTGACGGATGTGCCGATGTCCGCCCCCATGATCATGTAAACGGCGTTCTTGGGATCGATCAGGCCTGCCGCAGTCATCGTGATGATGATGGAGGTGCTGGTCGACGATGACTGCACCAGCACTGTCGCCAGGATCCCGAGGGAGCAACCCGCGAACGGGTTGTCGAAGATGGCGTTGTTCCGGAAGACCGCGCCGGCGGTGGGGCCACCGATGACGGTAATCGCGTCGCCCATCATGCTGAGGGAGATGAGGAAGATGTAGTCACCACCTTCAGCACCTGGATGATCACGAAGAGAGCCTTCTCTGGGCCTGTCCGCTGCGACCACGCCTTGTCTCCGGACTCCATCTGCTTCACATCCCACTTGTCCACCACTGCCGCCATCTCTAGACGGCTCTGCTTGCTGTCTTCGTCCGGGAGTCCTCGGGCGATGCGCCTCCCCGAAGGCCTGCCTGCCTGAGCTGCGGGAGCTCGAGCCAAAAATGCTATGGCAAAAAAAAAAAAAAAAAAAGAAAAAAGGGCTACTGAGAAAAGAAAAAAAAAAAAAAAATAAAAGAATAAAAAAAAGATAAAGAACAAGAAAACAGAGAAGCAATAAAAAAAACAATAAAAAATAAAAGAAAAATAAAAAAAAAAAAAAGAATAGAAATAAAAAACATAAAAGAAAAAAAAAAAAAAAGTAATAAGTAAAAAAAAAAAACAAAAAAAAAAGAAAAAAAAAAAAAAAAAAAAAAAAAAAAAAAAAAAAAAAAAAAAAAAAAAAAAAAAAAAAATAAAAAAAAAAAAAAGAAAAAAAAAAGAAAAAAAAGCAAAAAAACAAAAAACAAAAAAACAAAGAAAAGATAAAAAAAAAAAAAAAAAAAAAGAAAAAGAAAAAAAAAAAAAAGAGAAAAAAGAATAAGAAAAAAAAAAAAGAAAAGAAAAAAAAGGAATAAAAAAAAAGAAGAAAAAAGAGGGCTTTCTTGGGGACATCTCGTGCCGTCTTCGAGGCCCTGGGAGCCAGCCAAGAAATCCAAAATCATTGGAAAAAAAACTTACGGTTTTCAGTTGTTGTAGCTTTTCCGCCCAGTCGGTCTTAAGGGCGCCCAAGACGGCCCAACAATCCTTCAAAATCGTCCCAAAACGGCTTCCGAGCCCGCAAGAGGGGCTCAAGAGGACCCCAAGACGGCCCTTAGGGGGCCCGAGAGGGGAAGCGCGAAGTGACATGTCGAGCCCTCCACCCCCAAAAATGGCCTCCCGGACCGCCACGATCTCCAGGAGGCCCCCAAGAGGCCCCCAACGAGGCCCTCAAGAGGAGGCCCTCGCGCACGCCTCGCGCGCCGTCTCCGAACGTCGGGAAGCGGAGCAAGCGACCACGGAAGATCAATGAAAAACGCATTGACAAAAACAAGGATGTTTGCCTAGTAGGGCTGTTTCGGGAAGCAAGCTACAGCCATCTCTTTTTTTAGTCGAGGACCGTTTTGGAGCGCTATGGGCCTCCTTGAAGACTATCCTGGAGCCATCTCGGGCGCCTCCTGGGCCATCCTGGAGGCCCTGGAGGGCGGCCAAAAGAACAAAAATCTACAAAATCCATCGGTTCTTGCGTGGTGTTACATTTACCACCTTTCTTGTCTTCAGAGCGCCCCAGGCGGCCCAGGAGGCACCAAAGATCGCCAAAAAACAACCCAAGAGCCCCCCAAGAGGGGCCCAAGAGGCCTCCAAGACGGCCCCGAGTGGAGCCCAAGAGGGAGAGCACGAAATGATATTTTGAGCCCTCCCCCAAAACTGGCCCCAAGATCCCCCCGGAGGCCCCCAAGGTGCCCCCACCCAAGAGGCCCCAAACACTCCAAACCTACCAAGAGGTCTCCCAGTAAATCCTCACAGGCACCCAAGGGGCCTCCGACCGACAACGTGGCGGAATGGGCCGAAGGCCACTATATCCGCCGCCCCCCTGTGGTCTTGCCACAAGGATGCACGGCGTGCCAAATGTCTGGCAAGTTTTAGGTTTTTCTCTACAGAACTCGGGCTTCGCCCAGCCCGCCGGTCACCCGGAAAGCTCTGGGCGACGCATCTCCCTTCGGTTGTTTCGCTTAAGCTGCCTTTAAGATGACCTCCAAGACGAGCACGATGGCCTCCCAGACGGCCAAGATTGTATACACTTCTCGATTTGTGCGTGTCATCCTTGCGCAGGGGCAATGCTAATCTTCTCTGTATCGTTCCACTTTTAACGGATAATCCCCGAAGGGAATCCTCCCAGACAGCCAAGATGACCCCAAGAGAGCCCTAGATGGCCGAAAAATATTGCCAAGACGGCCCGTGGTGCACCAAAGATGGCCTAAGATGGCCTCAAGATGGCCCAAGACAGCCCAAAAGGCGCCCAAGAGGCCACAGGTCCTCCCGGAAGGACAGAAGGAGCCAAAATCACTGATTTCCCAACGGTTGGCATTTGTTTCAAAACGGTTTCTCAACGGTTGGCATATGTTTGGAAGAAGTCTAAATCAAGAATTTTGTTTGAAAGATGCTGGCATTTGCTTCAAAACGGCCTTCTGACGGCCCAAGACGGCCCAAGAGGCCCCCAAGACCCCAAGATCAACCAAGAGGCCTCCAAGATGGCTAAAGCAAGGCCCAAGAGGCTCCCAAGACGGAACCCAAAACCGCCCCAGAGGTCTGACTCTGAAACGCCGGAAGAGGGCTTCAAGACGGCCGAGAGACTCTCCCAAGATGGCTTCCGACAGCGTCAGACGGGCCAGGAACGCCGTAAGAGGGCCAGAGAGGACCCCAAGAAGCTCCAAATAAGCCCCAGCTCCTAGGAGGCCCCAAGAATGACCCGAGAAGCTCCCGAAAGGGTTTCCTCATCCTTCTCATCATCCTTTTCCTCCCTCTCTTCCTCCTCCTCCTCCTCCTCCCCCACATGTTCCCCGAAGGGCTTCCAAAACGGCTGGCGGAACGAATGGTCCAACAGTGTGGTCGAGCTTTGCACAACCGTTTGGCCACACAGGCGTGTCCCAAAAGGCAGGGGGCGGCGATGCTTCGCCGCAGGCGCCTTCGATCATACATATCTATATATATATACATATCTATATGTGTGTAAGCATACATACATGCATACCTACCTATATACCTACCAATCTCCCTACCTACCTACATACATACATACTTACTTACATACCTACATACATATGTATAGATGCACAAATACATATATATATATGTTTGTATGAGAGAGAGCGTGCATGCAGCTATGAATATGTACATATAGATATGCATACATACACATATACATTTACATAGACACATACATGTATAGATAGTTGCACACATACGTATACATGCACATATGTATATCATAAGCAAATGCATATGCATATACCTATACACATAAAGATACGTTCACATATGCATAAACCTACACGTGGACTGAAACATGTGCATCTACATGTACACGTACGTGCACATACAAATGTATCGACCCATGCATATGCATAAACCTATACAAATAGATGTGCGTACACATATACATATACAAAAACATGCACATATACATAGGATATGCATCCACCTGTACACATGCATATACATGTATGTACACATATACCAATAGATAAACGTATACATAGACATATATATATATGCGTGTATACATACATAGACTTATACAGTTATATGTACATATACACACATGTATACGTATCCATAAACATACACGTATACATATGCATATCTATAATCAGGCACACATACATACATACATAAGCGCATGTAGGTACATACATACATCGTGTATGAATAAAAACATACATACAGACAGACATACAAACATACATACAAACATACATACACGAACATGCGGACATACATACATACACACATACAGACAGACAGGCAGACAGACAGACTGACTGACAAACAGACAGACAGACGGAGAGACATACGGACATACAACGATACAGTCGTACAGACATACTGGACAGACAGACATACATACATTCGTGCATACATACATACACGCATGCATGCATGCGTAGAAGAGTGTATGTATACAAACGGTCATACATGCATACATATATACATACATGCATGCATGCGTGCACATGCATGCATGCATGCATGCGTACATGAACACATATACATGTGTGCAAAAAATATGTGGTGTACAATGGTGTAGTATGTTGTGTATATGGATGTATGTGCATGCGTATGTATGTATACGCGTATGTTTGTGTATGAATGTATGTTATGTGCATGCATGCATGCATGTATGTATGTAGGTACTACAAGAAACGCATACGTCTACACGCTCTGCTTTGCCTTCCTATCGAACAGCGGCGTGCGGAGCGGACTCCATGATCAGATGCACATCCACAGACATGTGGCATCGCATGGAGGTGTAAGAACGAGCATACGGCTGTCCGCATACACACCGACACACTCAGGCGGACGAAGCCTACGGCACAGTGGGGTTCGAGGAAGCCCCGGGGCGCAGGCGAACACACCTGCCACCACGCCTCGAGGCACGCGCTGCGGCGTGTCCACCGACGAGGCAGCCGCGCGCAGCCCACGGCGCCGTGCAGGGCACGCCCGCGCACCCTCCTCGAACCCGCCCCCCCCGGCCTCGACCAGCTGGCCCTCCTGGGGCGTGGGGGCGTCGACGCTATGCATCGGCGCATGCTCTCCCTCGCCCTCCCCGCTCGCTGCCGCTGCTGCAGCCGCCGCTCGCTCTCCCCGTCCGCCTCCTCCTCCCCCACACTCCTCGTCCTCCTCCTCCTCCTCCTCCACCTCCTCCTCCTCCTCCTCCTCCTCCTCTTCCTCCACCTCCTCCTCCTCCTCCTCCTTCTCCAGAATTACTCAATATGAATACTACTCCCCCTCTTCCCCTGATGACGGTTTGAAAGTGGCCGACCCCCCCCCCCCTCGTACTGTTTTTTTCCACACCGGTTTCCCCGGAGTTGGGTTTTCGCCTGCATTGTTCAAAATGCTGCTCTCGCTGAGGCGCCGGCCTCATTTTCGGGCCCCGCTCGTTCCGAATCGTGCCCCCGCTGCAGCGCTGGCCTCATTTCTGTGCTTCCGCTCGTTCCGAATCGTACTCCCGCTGCAGCGCTGGCCTCATTTCCGCGCTTCCGCTCGTTTCGACTCGTGCGCCCGCTGCAGCGCTGGAGTAATTTCCCGTGCCATGCCACGGCATGCAATGCAATGCTAGGTTGATACTACGCTTTGCGGTGCTCCTCTACGCCATGCCATGCCGTGCTCTACAATGCATCGCGTACCCTTTCGGGATCATTGCCCTGCTCGACATCCGACTGAGCGAGTAGAGAGGGGATCTGCGCCATAGTAAGGGATGGGAGGGAGGGGTAGGATGTCAGATATGACAGAGCACAAGAACGAGAGACTAAGTTAACAGCGCACCT